AGGCAATCTGACTGGCCAATTCTTCAACATGATATCTTCCCAACATCTTCCCAGCCACCAGATTTGTTTGTTGTTTCAGATATGCTGTTTAAAAATTATGTCATTTTAATGCCTCACACAACATCTCTTACCAGCCATTCCAGTTTTATATTGTGAAATCCAACTGGTAACATAACATGCTTTAAAATATTATCAGAATATATTATTTCTGTTCAATCAAAACATAGCATGAGGAAAAGTAAAACAATAATCTATTTTGTTTATTAAAAATCATTATAAATACAAGAATGTTCATCTAACCCAGTGCTTCTCCATTATTTTCTGTCACGCCCCCCCTAGGAAAGAAGAAAACATTTCGCGCCCCCCCCCGCGCGACTGTAAATAGTCACATGGGCGGGTTTGATCAATCAGGATAGAGCACGTCGGGCTGCACTGGGACAATCTCCCTCTCTCCAGCCGTAACGGGCCCCCCTTTACGGAGCCTCGCGCCCCCCCTGGGGGGCACGCCCCACTATTTGAGAACCGCTGATCTAACCAAAGTGGGGGGGGGGGGGGGGGAAATTACTTAATCATGTCATATTGATAATATGAAAAGAATTGCCAATGAATGAATCTATAATTGGACTCCAAATAAAATGCATAAAATTTTTGTTAACACTGAACCTTTCTTTAACATTATTTGATGTGGAGCTGGCAATTACTGTTTTCCAATGTCTCAGGTATTGTACGCATTGGGTACAACTGTTTCTTTTTTTCCTGGGAACTTGCCACAGACTAGAAGCCAATGGCTCAGGGACTGGCACCAATCCAGGAACCATCACTCTACTAAGCATTGCTTTAGCAGAAATGAGTATCACTTGCAGCAATATTATATAGTTCCCCCCCCCCCCATTTGTGGGGAATCCGTTTCATGGTGGTTAGCTAATATTTGAGCCCTATTGAAACTCATGATGCATGCGCCCATGGCGTACATGTGTGGCCGTGCACAGGCACATGTGGCCATTTTACCTATAGCCACTTGTTCCTCCCTGAGAAGAGTGAGACCGTGGACCGAAAGTCCACGAACAGGAAGGGACAACTGTACTTATATTTAGCTAACCTTTACATTTAAAAAGATTCTACCACAAATAAGAATTTATCATGTGACACACAATATACAAGTAACCAATATATAAGCAAATTTAAACAACTGAGAACTTCATCAGCACAGTAATTTACCACACAAATAACCTGACGTGTATGAAAAATCAACTAACTTCAGGGAAGGAGTCTAACTGGACATGAACACTTCACGGAATATAGAACATGTATATGGCCTCTGGCCTACAAGTGGCTACATCTCACACACTGCTAATACCCTGTATCTTCATTATCACTAATAAGCAAAGAAAACCTATGATCATACCCTTTTAGGCTCAGATCAGACTGAAAAAGATGCATAGCTTAAAAAAGAGTGAACACACACATCACAGGCTGGAGACTGCAACACTTCCCTCAGCCCTTGGAGTGTCATGCTCCTGTTTCCCAATGTTTGCCTCCCAAAGTTTAGCCAAGTGCTGCACATAAACAAAAAACAAACAAACAAAACCCCAAAGCAAAACAAAAATGTTTCAACAAACTTACAGCCAGATTACCATTTTTAGCTAGACTATGCTATTTAGGGGATGAATTGTTAAAACGGTATGTTCTATTTGCACAATTTGGAATATAATCCAGTCTGCTAGTTAGCAGTCCTCATGCAACTGACTCTCTGGGGTGCAGTGTCTTTGGGCTGATATCTGGAGAATGTGGAAACATGTAGGAGTAGCTCTGTTGGCCATTTAGCAATTTTTTGTTTGAATATGGAGAATGCAGCTATATGCAGTTTGTTCTCCTTCACAATCTATTAGCACAGATAGAAAACATCAGCACATTGCTCTGTGACTGATAATATTGTTGGATCCCATGCATGCAAGGTAAGTAGCTAGCAGTGTTGTATTTTCCATAATTAGTGCTACAAATCTACTAACGTTTATTTTAAAATCTAATTAATGCATTAATCTAAAAAAATAAAGCATTATTCTTATTCTTATTATTACCACTGCCACCATTATATTAATTAATATCTCGGCGTTCTCCTAATAATGGGAATAACAATGGTTAGCAACATATTTAAGACAATACAAATTAAAAACAATGCAAAAGCATTGAAAGTATAAATAAAAGTTTTTAAAAGCAATTAAACAATTTATGGAGTTAAAACATTAAACATTAAAAATATTAAAATACATTACAACTGTATACGAACTTTAAAATCAGAACTACACAGTATTAAAAGCCCAACTCTAGTGAGTTGGTAAAAGCCCAATGGCACAGAAATGTTTAACCTGCCATTGGAAGGAAAGCAAACTTTACTTTACTTTGATACATGTTGCCACATTTTGATGTCTCCCCTACAACAGACCTATTCAGTAATTTAAAGTACTTGGGTTTTTTGCTACAAAAATATAAAAACATATTTTAAAACAAAACCAGTTTTTAAAAAACAAAAACAAAACAAACAAAAGTCCATTAGGCAATATTTTGACCACCTCCCAGAAACTAAGTAGTGATGGACTTGTCTCAGCTGATATTGGACCTACATAAGTGATTGAGTATACTCCTGTTTTTTACTTGATAGATGAAGGTGGTCTATGAGTAGAGAGGTTCAAAATAACTGCATGGTCATAAGGAGATCACTAACTAATAGGGCTCAAATTTGCTGGGGCTCTTTCAAGGGTAGAGGATTAGCTAAAATGGTCTTCTGTTGAAGCAAACGGATCCAAAAGATTTCCCAAATGCCAACTGAGTTTTTTCCAGCTGCCTGAACTACTGATTTTGTTGATGACCTGGCGGATCTGTAGAGTGGGGAGTTGAAGGCAGCTGACACAATCAGTCCTAAGTATCCTTAATGTGGTACAAAGTATGGGCTTTCTGATTTTTGAAGGAGCTCAAAGTAATGAAGTACTTCAGTAGATGAGTACAGCCAAAGTGGAGAGAGACTTGGGAAGAATCCAATCGAAAACTGGTTAAGGCTCATATTATGGCCTGTTCTATGCCAAGAACAAGGTTGTTGTTGTGTGCACCTTCAAGTTGTTTCAGTCCTATGGGAATCCTAAGGTGAACCTGTCACAAGGTTTATCTTGGCAAGATTTGTTCAGAGGTTTGCCATTGCCTTCCTGAGACTAAGAGTCTGTGGCTTGCCCAAGGTCACCCAGTGGGTTTTATGACCGAGCTGGGAATTGAACCCTGGTCTCCAGAGTTGCAGTTAAACACTCAGACCACTATGCCATGCTGGCTCTGAAGGACGGGTTGCTTATATGTAATTTTTGGTTTTTCAAGTGGCTTTCTGTAAACTCACAGAAGTAAAGAACTGCACAGTTGCATCTTCAGAAAGTGCTTTTGGCAAGAGCCCTGCTCCCTCTATACCCCACTTGCTTTGGTGCTTTCCCTTCTAATCTCATCAATTCCAGTCTGCAGTATGGTCAAAAATCCTTGAACAAGGCCAGACAGACTAACAGAGCAGAGGGCAGATTGTGTGAGTTCACAGATGATCATTTGAAGAACCACAACTACAGGTAAGCAAATTATCCTTCTTCCTTCTCTGACACACAAATATTTCCATACTAAGCTAATAACTAGGGTAGTGGATAGGAGTTATAACAAAGAGCAGCACCACCTGGCCAAACTGCAGATTCAGACTGTAATGGGACACAAATTTTAGAAGGCTGAGAGCAAATAACAGCTCTGCAGATCTCTTAGAGTAAAATCCCTGCCAGGAAGGCAGATGAGGCTACACCTGCTCTTGTGAAATGGATTCTTATAAGCAAGGGAGACTGAAGCTTACACAGCCAGCTGGTATGTTAACTTGAAGCTTTCTACTTGGACAGCTTTTGAACCAATTGAAGTCTTTCTCTACATCCCATAAAACAGAAATAGTAATCCAGGAGTTTAACAAAATGAAGCAGAATGATCTGCATAAAAAGCTAGGGTCCTCTGCACATCTAAGGAGTACAAGGCCTTATCTTTATCCAAAATGGAATTCAGGAAGAAGATAGGTAATTCAAGTGCTTATGATACATGTATAGATGAAACGATATCTGGCAAAAAGGAAATATCAGGTAGTAAGGACATTTGATCCTGATGAAACTGAAGAAAATGAGGACAAGGTGATTTAGGGCCTAAGCAGACTGCCAGAAATAGTGCACATTAAATTGAGGCACTGCCCTGGCTCAGTGCTAGGGAATCATGGGAACTGTAATTTATTCTGGCACCAAAGCTTTCTGACAGAGAAGGCTCAGTGTCTCAGAAAAAAATGCAATTCCCATGATTCCCTAGCACTGAGCCAGGGCAGTGCCTCGATTTAATGTGCACTATTTCTGGCAGTCTGCTTAGGCCTTTACTCTCCTTGATCTAAGAGCTACAAGGAGCACAAGTTCATGTTACAGCAGGCAGATATCATGGGTTGCAAGCAGCTCAAAGGGAATACGCTTGAGCTGAGAGGACTTCAGACAATCTTCATAAAGGCATTACTAGGTGGATCATAGGATGAAGGTTACAGAAGGCTTTGCAAAAACTCTTGACCAAAGGATGTGTAAACCACGATGATTGAGTCGAAAGCCAAATATGAGCAAAGATGGCAGCCATATAAACATGACTGGGGATCCAAAAAGTGAAGGGCTCTCTGTGTATATTTATCTGGTAGGTTTTCTTGCTGCAAGGAGGCTATTCTTCATCTGATTTGAGAAAAAACAAAAGGTTTCATCCTCCACACAGTAAACCATAGAGTTGTCACATATGGGTGATGCACTCTGCCTCTCTGCTGAGTAAGATGCAGCACCACCAGGTCTATGCATCTGACCCCTGCACATGTTAAGTAATATGGAGAACTACTGGCAGTGCAACCACCATGGAGTGATTGCAATGCAAATAGTTAACAATTAACTTTGTTAATTAAAGTTGTTAAAGTTGTTAATTAAATTAACAACTTTGATTTAATTAAAGTTGTTAATTAAAGTTGTTCCATTAACAACAGAACAATACCTATTCAACACAGAACAACACACAGTTCACCTGGGAACCACTCCTCCCTACCCAGGGTCTCACAGTATATACAGACCCATGCTCTTCCATTTCAGTTTTCTCTGAAGATGCCAGCCACAGATGTTGGTGAAACGTCGGAAAGAAACAAAACAAAAAAGATTGCCTAGAGACATTATAGTAAATTTTGTGAGAAGACAAACCAGAGATTCATTTTTGGTGAGGCATAACCAGGTACCATTTCAAATTGAAGGACAATCTCTCAAAATATTGAAAGATATACCGGGCTGACTTCTGAGGAAACGATGGTGTTATGCTCTTCTAACAAGTCTGCTTAGAAGAGAAGAAGTCCCATACAGATGGAAATGCCAGAAGGCTTGAGTTTCTGGTGGAACAAGAAAAAAATTAAAATCTCTTCACCTGAGCAAGCCAACAAATTTGTGAAACAACATATGGGCAGATATAAAAAACAGACAAGAGACAAAGATGGGGACAATTCCAAAGATAGAAGTGAGGCAGTGGACGAACAACAACATAATGTAGACGATCTAGGTGCATGTGCCCTGAATGAATACTTGAGAGACTTGAGAGACTCGAGAGACGAACTCGCTGGATCTGAGACTGATAAAGATGATGAAGACGAAGAACTAGGAGGACAAGATGAGGAAGAAGACGACGATGACGATGAACAAGAGATCGACTCACAAAAAAATCAGAAATTGAAGTTGTGAGAAAAGACGAAGGAGAAAGTAATAGGGACTTTGATTATGTGGTAAGCGTGACTTCACCAATTGGCATAGAGGAATATTTTGATGATTAGTGATTTATTCTGATTATATATTGTATATTTAAGTTTGAGAGCTGTGACCTTCTTGCTAAATTTACTGTGTATTTAAAGTAACATTATAAGGTGAATCCATAAAATTTGAAAATGGGATATCTTAACCAAATTAAAATTCTCACCCTAAACGTACAGGGGTTAAATACCCCGCAAAAATGAAAGAAAGTTTTTCATTATCTTCAAAAACAAAAGTTAGATATCTGTTGTCTTCAAGAGTGCAGAATTAGAGATAAGGATGTTAAGTATTTAAGAAACACCAAATTAGGTATGGAATTTATAGCGACCTGCCCTTTTAAAAAAAGAGGAGTGACCTTTTATATTAACCCAAAACTTGACCCAAAGATAATCAAAAGTGATCCAGAGGGTTTTTATCTAGTGGTACAAATTCAGGTGGAAACTAAATTATATGCGCTTGTTGGGGTATATGGTCCCCTAGAAAATAAAAATGAGTTTTATAAAAATTTGAGAGAATCCTTATTAGATTTGGAATATGAAAATATAATAATGCTTGGGGACTTTAACGGTGTGGTTAATCCTGAGATTGATCGAAAATCGGCAAAACCCATTAAAAAGAAGCAAGGTAGATTACCTAAAGAGTTTTTCTCGATGGTGGAATTATTAAATTTGAAAGATGTATTCAGAACAAAACAAGGCAATGAAAGAGATTTCACATTCTATTCTAATAGGCATAAATCACATTCACGGTTGGATATGATTTGGATATCAGACCATTTGCTAACTAAAGTTTTGAGATATAAAACCACTCCAAAAATCTGGTCTGATCATAATCCAGTTTTGATAGATCTAAAATTTGGGCAATATATAAATAACTGGAGATTAAATTCGGCCATTCTGAAAAATAATAAGATTTGTGAAGAGATTAAGAAACAAATTTCTTATTATTTTCAAGAAAATTTGAATAAAGATACTCCCATACATATTGTATGGGATGCTCATAAAGCGGCAATTAGGGGAATTATTATACAAAAAACGGCAGAGTGGAATAACGAAAAAAACAGCAAGAGAAGATGTTAGAAAATGAATTGGTAAAGTTGGAAATTAAATTAAAGGATGAACCAAGATCCCAGGAAATTCAAGAAAAAATAAAATACATTCAAAATCAAATTTCTATTTTAAATATGCAGCAGACTGAGAAGAAAATTAATTTCATTAAACAAAGGTATTACGAATTCGGAAATAAACCCGGAAAATTGCTAGCTTATATGGTAAGGAAAGAGAAAGCCAAAAGAACGATTAATCAGATTAGAAAAGGTGCTGAAATTATATCAACACAAGCGCAAATTAAGAAAAAAATTTTGGATTATTTTCAGAGTATATATAAGGTCAATTCCCCACAAGAAACAGAAATCGATGCTTATTTACACAATACAGAAATTCCCAAGTTAACGAAAGAACAACAAGATTTGTTGAATCAACCTATTTCACATAGGGAATTGGTGGAGGCTATTAGGCAGTCTAAATCGTCTAAATCCCCAGGCCCAGATGGCTTCACAAACAAATATTATAAAGTATTTGCCCTGCAACTGATACTGCCGTTATTGACATCCATGAATAATAATATCGACGGTCAGATACCGCCATCATGGAATTCCGCAAACATTACATTAATTTTAAAACAAGATAAAGATAAATTAGACCCTAACAACTATAGACCAATTTCATTATTAAATGCCGATTATAAATTGATGGCTGGTATACTGGCAAAAAGGCTTAAAGGAATCTTAGGAAATTGGATACATAATGACCAAAATGGTTTTCTCACATCCAGAGGGACAAAACAAAATTTTAGGAATTTACTAAATATAATTGACTTTTATCAAAAATATATATATAAAAAATTGGCTTTAATCTTTCTGGATGCGGAGAAAGCCTTTGATAATATAAATTGGAGTTTCATGATCGCGGTGTTAAAAAAATTAGAAGTTGGAGAAATCTTTCTAAAATGGGTACAGAAAATATACTCACATCAAGAAGCCTATATATTAGTCAATGGGGAGAGGACACAAAAATTTGACATACAAAAAGATGTGCGTCAAGGTTGCCCTTTGGCTCCGTTACTGTTCATACTGACATTAGAAATTCTCCTTATAAATATTAGAAACAATAAAGAAATCAAGAGAATAGAAATTCGTAAGCAAACTTATAAGTTGAGAGCTTATGCTGATGACCTGGTTCTGACAACTGAAAATCCGGAAGATTGTAGGGAGGAGGTTATGTTTTGTCTGACTGAATATGGTAAAGTATCAGGTTATCGAATTAATAAAAATAAATCTATTATGATGTTTTTGAACATTTCCAAAAAGGAAACTGAAAAAATTAAAGAAAATAACTGAATTTAAAATAGAGAACAAAATAAAATATCTGGGGATTTGGCTAACTAAAAAAAATTCGGATCTG